ATAGAAGGCTTCATTAGAGCTGTAGGACTCCATAACCAAAATAAGATCTAATTCTCGTCCATTTAAAAAAATGAGTATAGTAATAACTTCTCAAAACCCGATAAAATCAACTTATTACTAAGCTAATTTTTTTAAACGGATGTTAAAAATAACAATTTTTTACAAATCTTGCTCAAAGTCGGCTAATAATTACTGCGGGACCGATTAACATCCCTATACAAAATCATATTTGCAACTTGAGTACGTAATATGATATGCGGATAACTTTTTTTAAAATGATCTTTTTTTTGACAGACCAAAATATGTTGCTTAGAGTTAGTCTATATTTTAATTAGGGGTCAACCGGGTAATAATAATTAAGAATGAATACTTAATGGGTTAGCTTAGTAGAATTATGTGATCTACAGTTTCTAAGAAGTTTCTAAGAAAAGTACATATCTGATATTGATTAAAGATCAGCGTAAATCATGTCCTGCTTACAAGGGTATAATCTGAAAGTCAAGTGATTATTATATCATACATTTTATTTTAAAGTACTTTTACTACGTAGAGTTACTAGAGATGTACGTACCTATAAATCACGTGATATCAACTCCGAAAACTCCGAACCAAAAAAGCAGATTTTGGAAAGTTAGGTGATTTACAAGAATCAACTAGAGATTTTGAATAACTAGGCGTAATTAGGAATTTTAGGCGATCCCTATTCAACGGACTAGACTTTCTTTGCATCTTTGACAGATACCAAACACAACGAAAATCCGAATGAGCTTCATGGTATGCACATCATTCGATTTTAGTCATATAACCTTAGTTAGAACATATTTTTGTTTACGTACTACTTTAATATAACAACAATTATATTACTAATAATTACGTACGTATTACAGATAACGATAATACGTAATAGTATAATCTTTAATAAGTATAAATCTGCAATGTGTATACGTACGAAAAGATAGATATTATGACGAAAGTGAGTACGTAGTAAGACTAACTACCTAATAACTATATTAAATCATAATAACTATAATAAATCATAATAATAATAATAATAATAATCATGAGATTTTGATATTACACAATGCACCTTAACATTAAATATGTACGTAAACGGGAAGCAAAAATCGAATGATATTCAACTTTAGCATAGATAACTAGGTTACTAGGTTACGGGATAAATACGTATCGGTATGTACGTACAGTATATATTATATAGTACAATATGTATCACTCTACTTACGTGTCACAATCAATATCCATTTTATTATATGTAATGTCAAAAAAAAACAACCTTTTTTTTAAATAAACCTATCAGTAGCTTAAAAGGCATTTTATTAGCAGCTTGTTATTATTTGAAGATTTGACTATATATGTAAATTTGTTTAAATAATAATGTAAAGTTTGTTTAAAAGTTTGTTTAAATAAATAAATATTATTTTAAGCTTATTTTATTGTATATACCATATATATATATACTGTATAAATATCATATATAATATATATGTACATATAATATATATATATAATATATAGTATATATGTACATATAATATATATATATATATAAATATAATATATAGCAATATTTGACATATACTTTCTTTATACGTGCAGAATATAAATAAATATATTCATTTAGTAATATTTTTTTTCTTTGTCAAAACGAAACTTTTTTTCTTTTTAAAGTTCAGTGTAATGAAATGTATACATGCTATGTAATAAAGCGCTCAGGGTCTACTTTAACGCCGAAAACACAAATACGATGTATTGAGATTTTGTGTTACGGTTCACCTACCTGTTAATGTTAATTACTTATCGTTATATTATATTACTCATTACATCAGACTGGATTTACCGGAACAATTTTAATGCTAACAGCCGGGCCGACGGATCAAAAGGAGCCAAGAATTAAATTACATCATAATCAACGTAATTGAAGGCACGTGAGGAATTGATAAACTATATGTCGTGAAACAATAGATCAAAGATTTGCTGATGAACTTTAGAGTTATGATAAGAGTTAGCACAACAGTTAATATCAATTATAAAGATCACTTCAATTACGTATTATCATACTTCAATCAGGGATTAAATTCAGCAAGATTTACAGGTTTTATAATTCAAAGATCATTTGTTTAATATTATTATTATGTAATTTATACATTACGTATCAATCAACACAATTGACAAAATTATACATTTTGAATTGCAACTAACACATCAGTTTGAACACATGTAATACTCTAAAAAAAAATAAATACGTAATTTTACTGGTATTTAGTAGTACATATAATAGCATAATATTTGAAGCATGGCAACAATTATTTTTCCGGGAGCAACAATTTGAAAGTGCTACAAAAAAAAACAAAGAAAATTTATAATTAAGAAAAATAATTCTGTAATGTACGACAGGGATTTTAAAAGTTTAAAAATTAATGTACTTGGATGCATACGTAACAAATTTGAAATGACATCATTTGGTACCATCGATCCTTTGTCTATCCTGCTTATCCTTTGTCATTTATGAAGAACACAAAGTACATACACATACGTAATCAGATTATCATTTAAGGATTTAATTGGTTCATTATATAAAATAAACAAAAAAAATCACACAAAATAACGCAAAAATAACAAAAAATATCACAAATAATATGAAAAAAAACCCCCGAATTAAAAAAACTTTACGTAGTATGTCTAATTTTAGTAATAATTTTACGTATACAGATGTTATTCATTTACAAATAAAATGGCACGTACAAAAACAAATACGTTACGTAACATGCTATGTATCTGGTATTATATCAGTAGTACGTACTATATCGATATCTGATATCTGATATCATACGTATATATGTAGTACATGCGTACCTATGTACTAAACATATACGTATACTAGTATATACTAGGATATACTAGTACATACTAAGTATATGCATATGTATGTACGTACGTATAACATGTATCACCAAGTTCCGTTATTGTTAAAATTTCGGCCGGAAGGCATTTTCTTCGCTTTAGACAAGGCCGAGAAATGTTCAGAAATAATATATAAAAATGGGCTTACCAGGTCGTTAAGCCCACTTTATTCAAACTGAAAGGCACAGCCTGAACGAATTTCTTGTTCAGCATCTTTTATTTTATTTTCATTTTATTTCCATTTAATTTTTTCATTTAACTTTTCCATTTAACTTTTTGATTTAACTTTTTTCATTTAACTTTTTTCATTTAACTTTTTTCATTTAACTTATTCATTTAACTTATTCATTTTATTTTGTTCGTATTATTCAATTCATCCTTTTCAATTAATTCTATTCGATTAATTCTATTGATGTTATCCTTTTCAAGTAACTTTTCAATTATTTTTATCTACGCATTTTATTTTATTTCACTTCATAAAGTAATTATATTAATAAAAAAAATTATATTAATAATTTAAATAAAGAAATTAAGTTAATAGGTTTTAATCCCGAATTATTTACATAATATTTACATAATATCATGAAATGTTCATGAAATGTCACAGAAAGATTGAATAATAGTTTTAAAAAAAATTGTCGTCAAATAAAGTTAATATTTCAAAGTTTCGTAAAATAATACCGGAATATCTATTTTTATTAAATATATAATAAATGAATAACACCTGAAACTTTAATTATGCATGCGGAGAATTGAAATGTAAGATCGATGATGATGTTTGTGGAATGATAATTACCGGGTAATGTGAATTATTGAATTATATTTGTTTTAGTATGCATCAATATGAATTTTTTATTTTATTCTCTAAAAAAAAAAATCATTAGGACAAAATATTTCCGACAAACGTTCCGACTCCTTTTCAGGCTATCTTGAAAAGTCATAATACATAATATTGTATTGTATGTACTGTATATACTGTATATACTGATATTTTTATTTTTAATTTTTTATATATTTTAATTTCAAATATATATATACGTATATTGATATTCATATTAATATTATATTTCATTTGCCTTGTAAAGTGTTCAGTCCATTGTTATTATATTTTTGGTCGTCTTGAGAATATCCTTTATGCATTTATAGTATTACAACCTATTTAACTCTTTTTAATTATAATGAATTAATTACGACAAGGATTTAATTAATTTTATTGTCATGCTCACTTTAGTTAAATTTATAGTTGGGGGAATGTCTTTATTTCCCGCCAAATACATTTTAGTTTTTCTCTTACTATTTATAATCGGCCGTTAGTAAACGCATTGTTACTCAAACAATTTTATTTATAGAACACATTACCTTTATTTATTTACTATTTGCGATTACAAAAACACAGAGGTAAGCATCCAAAAATAACTAATGACACATGCAATTATATTATGAGTATTACTGATGATCAGCATCTAATAATAAATAGTAAAAAACAATTTAAAATACCTGTCACACCTGATTTATAATCTCCGGTTTTTTGTAAACTATATAAATACACTAAATCTTTCCCCCCCAACCCAAAAAAAAACTTTTAAATAACTTTTAATATCTCTAAAAAAAAGACCAATTTCATTTTTCCATTTCTATTTTTAGTATCAGATTAACTTTTTCAAGTAATCTATTCGTCGAATCAACTTTAAAAACCGTTCTGATTGTTTGTATTACAATTAAAATCTGAATTTATATAATTCAATATAAATCTCTATCAAAGACAAAAAAAAAATTCCCTTCTCTAAAAAGGGTCAATCACGATCAAATCATTGATCAATATATTATACAGTAGATTTAGATATATAATATACATATTATATATATATATACATATATATACATAAAATATATATATATATATACAAAAAAAAAAATAGCATAAAAACACCACAAAATCGCCGCGTATTTCTTTTTTAAACGCATCCTTATCGAAATGAATACTATCGACCTTCAAGCTTATCATTCCGATTCCGAATATATTTATTCTTATAATCAAAAAAATCTTATTCAATCCGACGAAAATATTAATCAATATTTTTCAACTGAACCTGTCGCGTTTCAACTTGATCAATCTTTTAACGTAGATTGTTACTATCCTTGTCAACAATATATTCAAGATTATACTCCTTCTTACGGTTCTCCTGAAAGTATTTCTGAATACGAACTTAGTTCGGACGATTATTCTTCCAGTACTTCGGTTATTTCTTCTCCAAATCTTACCACCGATTCAATGTTTTATACTCATCAAGATAACGCTGATTCTTTCGATTATTCCCAAGAAAGTTTATATCAAGATATGTCTCTTGACACTTTTCAATATCAAGATCTTGGTATAATTAATCCTTCTATTGACGATTTAAAATTGAGTATCTCGTGTGTTACTCAATCTGACGATTCCAATGATCTATTACAAAATACTTTTACTCAATGCCCTCAATCCGTCATGTTTAACTTTGTTCCTCCTACCCCCCTCTCTTCTACAAAAGATTCTTCTCTTTTTCCTTATGATTCTTCTATACATTCTCAACCTATTCATTCCTCTGATAATAATAATAATAATACTTCCTCCTCTTCTTCTTCAATATCAATCCCTAATTCTCAAATTGTAAATTCTCAAATTGGAAATATTGAGCAACAAAATAAACAAAAATCTCTGAAAAAATCTGTTTCCTCCTCATCACGTAACAAAGTATCTCATAGAAGCCACAGAAGGTCACTTCCAAGTGACATGGTCGAACGATTACACACAATGAACTTGGCTCCTCCAAAACCTTCTCGTAAATCAAAAACTTGTTCTCCATTTAGTTGTCCTTACGAAGATTGTACAAAAACTTTTACTAGGCAATACAACCTTAAATCTCATCTTCGTACTCATACTGATGAAAGACCTTTTCTTTGTGGATATCAAGGTTGCATGCGTGCTTTTGCTCGCCAACATGATCGCAAGAGGCATTATAATTTACATCTAGGTTTCAAACCTCATGTTTGTGCTCATTGTGGTCGTGCCTTCGCTAGACTAGATGCGTTGAACAGACATCTTAGGTCAGATAGTGGTGCTCCTTGCGCTCAAGCTACTCTTCCTAGTACTGGCCCAAAAAAATTTAAACCCATCAGCATGTAATTACATGTGATCATTTCATCTTTTACATAGACTTTTGTAATTAAACAAAAATGAACATTTTGTACATAAAAAAAAAACTTTGGGTTCGATTTTTTTTTTTTTTTTTACTTTTCTTCACCGGTTCGCAATGAAACAATATAACTCAAGTGCGAATATATATTTTGTTTATTTTTTTTTTATTTCGTATTTTTTTTTTGCTTTTTTTTTCTATTTTTCGGTTAAAAAAAAAAAATTGGCTTTTCTGAATATGCAAACATTAAAATAAGCGCTTAGAGCACTATATTAACAATTAATAACTATTAATTTTTCGAATTCATGATTCCTTCAAAAAAAAAAAAAAAAAAAAAAAAAAATTAAACAAAAAACTCCTAAACAAAAATTCTAAACAAAAATTAAAAAGAAAATTATGTTTTTTTCGAACTGGTACGGATATCCGATCATCTACAATTATTTTCATGATTACTTTTTTCTCTCTCCCCTTTTAAATATATAGATCTATATTCATCACACAACACAAAGCATTTTCACACAAAAAAAAAAGCATATGCAAGCATTTTTCAATCCGCATCTTTTACACCTAACTAAAAAATTCATAAAATATATCAATCTCATGTATCATATAAAAAAAAAAATTAAGGTTTTCTTCTACGGTTTTCATTATTATTACAATTAATAAAAATAAGATTTTTCCGGAATACAGTATAAAAAAAATATATACCATAAATAGTAATTAAATTAATGATGATTGGTTCTTATCATTGCTTTATAATTGCCTTATAATTGAATATATATGTAATACTTGTGTTACTCATTTTCATCCATTTCATCCAATAACTGAATTTCATCTTGTCTTTTTATACAAAACTAATGATGTAGATGATCGAATCTTTATGCGTGGCTAAATATTTTGTTCTACAATATTATTTTTTTTGTAATTCAAAAGAACCAGTATTATCCGGAATATTCTTTTTATAGATAATTTTAAGTGTAATGTTTTTTTTATACGTATACGTACCCTACATATATCAGATATCTGATATGTATCAGTATTAATATAAATTAGTTTGAAACTTTGGCTTTACGTAGCATTAGCATTAGTAAGTTATATAAACCACTAATATTATGTAGTATAATTATTTCATATAATCACTCCGTTGTCAGTAAAGCATTTTTTTTTTGACACAATAACATTGTACTCAGTTGCTTAATTAGATATTATATATGCTTCAAAATTGTTCAAGGGTACGTAGTACTTAAACTTTAAAAATTTGTTTTTTTTAATTGGTTGAATCGATCTACTGTATATATGAATACTATAGGTTAATTAAGACTGATATACATTCGGCGTTTATGTTGTGAACAGTATCATGCAACACCAATAAGATTTCCAGATCAGGTTTAACATAAAAAAAACTGCCAATAACTCAAAATTTTGTCTATGAAACTATTTACTATGCACTAATAACCCAATTTTTTTTTTACATATTTTTCTTTGATCATTATTTAACTATAATATGTAGTTTTATAATTTTATAAATATTGCATATATTATCATATTGCACTAATCAAAATACTAAGAAATAACAATACAATTTACTTTTAAAAAACTTACAAAAGACTTAGATTATATAGCAATAGGTTAGGATTGCAAAAAAAAAAATTTTTTAAATATATTTATATTTTATACTTACAATAAGCAGGTTAAAAATTTTAAAAAACCTATACTTAATAAAGGTTTTATGTTTTGCAATAAGTATTTTATATAAAAAAGAATATTAAAAAAGAAAAATATTTTGATTAATGCATTTTGGTATTTGTTTTTTTTTAAATATTAAGATAAGTACTTGTAACTCAAGATTTTATTGATAGTATATTTGATTAATAGTTATATTACAACTACAAAAAGTAACTATAGAAAGAGTATACAACTAGCCACTTGTACAACTTTAGTTATTGTCTAATTTAAGTAATCTACTTGAAGGTTCTATACTAGTTATCATACCTGAAACCTGCTTATAGGTTTCTTATTCAAGCACTCTAGTTTCTATATTCATTTATCTATCTTTGCCTACCAATGATCTCAACTAATGCTGATAAAAATATGTCATAGTCACTAAGTCTTTAAAGCAGTTTTTTGGAATTTTTAACTTTGTACTAAACCTTCCAGAATTTTCTGTATTCTATTCTTACAGTTGACCTAATATCACTATGATTAAAACCAATACTGATAATTAGAGTATACTAATTAAACTATTATGTCTTTATAGAATTCATCCCAATTCTGATATTGATTTTACAACATATTCTTATTAGTTTGGTATTCAGTTCAAGTTTTACCAAGTTGCTATTTTAGATAGTCTGAAAAGGTAAGTTGTAACTATATACCTCTGGTTTATATGTTTGTTAGCATATATCTTTTTTTTAAAAATCTAAAAATTTTAGTGATCTGATTGGTTTATCTGGTCTCTCTTTAAAGACTGACATATTTGCTTAGTTTTACAAGTTCTAGTTTCATTTTATAAGTCTAGTTTTTATAGTAGTATTATTAACAGTTCAGATTACTTCTTTACTTGAATCTTCTAAGTAGATTTCTGTCTTTTTACCTGGTTGCTATGATTTATATAGTTTAAAGACTTATCTTAAGTTCATATTGCTTGGTACTAGTTTGTATTCTTTTGTACAATATTGTATAAGTGTTTAGACCTTTTAGTCATGTTGGTATAATATAAGTTACAGGTATTTAATCTTAATCAATCACAAAAGATAGTTAACTGTAATACAGAAAGAATTATAAATTTTCACTATCATTAAAATTTGAACTTTAGACCTGTCACTTAGAGGTTGACAACTTATCCATTTCACTAAATTACTACACCTCTTTTAGTATTTGTTTTAATTAATATAAATTATATAATTAGTATATATTTTACTAAAGTAGCTATTAGCAATTTTATAAAAATAAATATATTATATAAAAGTTAATTTATAAATATTTATTAGCTTATATAATTTTGTATTTACTTTAAATTAAATATAAAATAATTGTAATTTAATTTTGTAAAAATATTAATTAATTTAATAAAAAATATTAATTTATTAAATATAATATCTTAATATAATAAATAAATTGTTATTCTTTAAAGGTAAAGTGTACTATTTCAAAATTATGTATAAACTTGATGGTATATTTTTTTTATAATTTTAATTACAAAAGTTTTTACTAATTAAATATTTTTTAAGCTCTTAAGTAAAGTTATAAAGTAGGTTTTTGTAATTCTAATAATAATAAAATTATTAAAATTAGTTTAAAACTTATTGATATATGAATTTTTAAAAATTAGATATAAAAATTTATTATTAAAATTCTTTTATAGTTTTTCAGAAATTAACCAATTAAAGTTGACCTTTTTGTGTAACTTAGAAAAAACATAGAGTGTCCTAGAAAAATTCAAGATATATACAAATATATTTTTTTTAAATTAAACATCTTATAAAATTTTAATATAATAAATAACTTATT